ATGTCCACTGACCACATTTGAACTAGTTTTTAATCTTGTACGGAGGTTCCATGAACGTCTATATCGGACGCGCAGAACACGTCAAAAAAAGACGTCATAAAACCTTTCATTCTGGCTCCTCAGTGGACGTCTTTTCAACGTGTGCAAAGATTTCAAAAAGACGTCCACTGGACGTAACTTTGCCCAGTGGATAGATAGATAGATAGATAGATAGATAGATAGATAGATAAGACGCGCAGAACACTCAAAAAAAGACGTCATAAAACCTTTCATTCTGGCTCCTCAGTGGACGTCTTTTCAACTTGTGCAAAGACTTCAGAAAGACGTCCACTGGACGTAACTTTGCCCAGTGGATAGATAGATAGATAGATAGATAGATAGATAGACAGACAGATAGATAGATAGATAGATAGATAGATAGATAGACCACATCCTCGATAACCACAGCAAAGGAGAGAGATGCGCAAGCGAGTGCGCTGCGGTCTACAAAAAATCCAGAAACGATTATTCTTTCCATTCATCACTCAAGTATAAAACGGACCATTGGCATCCATGTCTTCAGCAATATCAGGAGATTTTCAAGAGGTTTCAACACCGCTTGTGACCGAGTGCTATTTTACAGCTCTTTTAATTTTTGCCTTTTTGCATAATCTTTCTGATCTTTTTGCTTTTTGGCCTCATATAAATATAATGGCACTTTGGAAATGTATCACTCTGCTGTGTCCATTTCTTATTTTCGCCCAAATTTGTTCAATGCCAACAAAATGCATCACGCGACGGGAGCTCGTGAAAACAACTCGCAGACTTCTTGAGAATATGGTAAGTTCCACCCCCCAAAGGTTTATATTCCGTTACCTGTTGTACATATTTAGGCTGTATCTTCACCTATGTTCTGACTTTCCTTATAGGGAGGTCTTTTTCCTCGTGAATGCTTGAAAGAAAACGTCGAAATAACCTTCCCGACATCTGCACTGCAATCAAATGACTCCAATCAGGTAAACTATAAACACATCAAGAGTCATTCCATGCATATTAGCTCCATGATTGTCTAAATGTTTCTGTTGAATACTACTTGCTAGAACCCAGAATGATGAAGGAGACCGGGCATAATGTTTTCTGTTATATGTTTACTTTGCAGAACACTGGTGTAGCAAAGGCAACGTATAAAATCATGGAGCACATTGACTACCTGTTTGCTAACGATAGTCACCCAGAATCCTGGAACCAGAAGAAAGTGGAGGATTTCCAAAACATAGTTTATCGTTTTACTGACGAGTACACATGTGTAAGAGAATAATACATTTATTTTTAAAATAGGATTTTATAGATGAACATGCCTGTAAGTGTCTCATATGTCTCATCCGTGTGTAGATTATGAGGAGAAAGCAGCGACACGTGGATGATTTTCCCACAAGAGAAGGTACACTGAAAACCTACTTTGATAAACTGGCCACTCTCCTCAGAAACAAGGTACACCAAAACTTATTGTTCAGCATGCATAAAATATGGTCTACAAAGCACTCTAACAAAATACTGTCATTCAAGCCCATGGCCTATTATAAATTGCTGTCTTTTTTCTCCTTCAGGACTACAGTGTCTGCGCGTGGGAGGTGGTTCGAAAGGAGCTCCTGCGTGTTCTTAAATTTACTCTTGAACTTGTATCATTCACTTAAGTTATTCAGAGTAGTTTTTCGTGGATTATTTATTTATTTATTTATCTATTTATTTATTTATTATTTATTTATTTGCCTGATTGATTAATTTTTGTAATATGATTATGTAAGATGATTATACTGAACACTCATTAAAACTGAAGATACTGAAGTGCATATCTCTGAGTATAATTTACAAGCAGCGACTGGCAAACGAACAATATCACAAAAACAAGAGTTGTTTATCCCATACGGCAAAATATACTTTCAAATATTTTTTTAGATATACAAAAATGGCCAAAAATATAATATGTTTTAAATATATTTACGTAACTATTAATTCTCTACCAATACATGTTTTTGCCTTTAATTTGTATTTTTTTTAAAAACATTAAATGCATTTAAAAATCAGCAAGGAAAATGCTTTACAATCAATTATGCTTTTACAGACCTGGGACATTCTTGCGCACGCACCTCCTGTCGCGTGCAGGTGCTTTCAAGTGGCCAAGACCGCAAAGTGAAGGTACTGGGACAGGTCCTATGTGTTCATCAAGCCCAAACGTGGGCTGCTATAGGCTAGTTCACTCCATTATTTCGAAAGATTGTGTTGATCTTAATGATCATTGGCGTCCCAAGTCGCGTATGTATGCACTATTATGTGCCGTTTTTAGTATAAATAGTGTGGTTAGTGTGTTCACACTGAGAATTCCAATAAAGCAAAAGTGCCTTCAAATGCACATATGCACACTTATAAACCGAAAAAAACAAAACAAGTGTGGAATGAACACTTCATGCACTCAACCGTGGCAGCTTTAATTAGGTAATGGAGAGGGAGGGCTGTCAGACTCCGATGATGGATGACAATTGACAAGATATATATTTCATACACTTGACGCTTTACATTGTTGTGCATAGAATAAGTGCACACTGTAATGCGTCATGTTGCACGCAGCAACACTTATATGCCACGAGATGTGCCACGAGATATTCTGGAAAAAAGATTGTGTTATTTTCACTATATACATGTATGTATATATATATATATATATTTATACAACAGTTCGTTCTGGTTCTCAAATCTGATTGGTTGAGAACCGTGAGATATTGTACCAGCATCGCTACAGGAACGCCCTTTCACAATTTTGTATCACTCTGCTTGTTCTAGCCGGGTCTATGTTTTTTTTTTAACACACACCACACACACAGTTGCAATCAAAATTATTCAGCCCTTCAGAGACTGCAATACTTTACAAATATAAGCTTTTCTGAAGATCCAGGATTTTATAAAAATTGCATCTATAACACTAATACTGGCATATTATAAATTATAATGTCAATATAATGTAGGCTAATATTCGTTTTGAGTTATAGGACTTTTTAATAACACAACTATGTCATAATTATTCAATTACTATTCAACATTGCTGTTTTTAAGTCACTTTTTTATGGTGGGGAACAAAATTGTCTTAGAAACTCTATTAAAAACAGAATTAGCTTGAGCTGTTACACATACATAAACTTTGCCCATGCATGTGCTGACGTGAGTAGCAAATATGCAAATTCAACAGAGCTCTCTCAAAAGCTATAGAAGAAATAGTTTTATTAGAAAATCTAATGAAGATTTCAAGGCATTAAAAGTTCCTAGAGATACAGCCTTATTCCTTAGCTTAAAATGTGTTGTACCAGAAAAACTTTGAGGGTGTTGAAGAAAAAGCACAATATCAATAAATTTGATCAGAGCAATTGAGAAAAACCTGCAATGTACAGCCAAAGATTTGCAAGATGACCTGATGAAAGGAGGAAAAACATTTCAATGCAGAGTATAAGAAGAACACTAACTATGGCCTTTGTATTGAGGCATCTTGCTGAATGCCACTCTTGATCAAGAAGAACATAAAAGGCCGACTTGAACATGTAAAATTCATTTGGGTAGACCTGTGGAGTTCTGGAAGAATGTTTTATGGAGCGATATGACCAAACTGGAACTTTTGGACCCATGGATCAGCGGCAAAGCTTATAAACAGAAGAACACCACCTCAAAGCTTGGAGGTGGACCAGTCCTGTTATGGGGGTGTTTTATGTTGCTGGAAGTGGAAATCATGACTGTATGAAGGACATCATGGATTCTTTGAAGTATCATTTTGTCAATTTATTTGGGCCCAACCAGTCATTTGATATTTTTACATAAAAAAATATGACAGACAGCTATGCATTTCCTCATTGACAGCCATTTAAACAAGCTCAGAAGTTACAGCCTTGGAACTTGACTTGACAATTACATTCCTGTTCTTTGGTTCTCTGAGTTTACTGATCTCACAACATTCATGTTTAACAAAAACTACCACTGCTAGGTAAAAAGAACAACATTTAAAGGGGTTTTCAATTCGATGTCAGTGAAAAATCCTTTACAAGCTCTTCATTTTCGAACACTTCAAAAGCTAGAACAAGTTTGCTCAAAGCCACATAACATTTACACAATGGCAGCTTGAGAAATATTTTCCATTGAGACTGAGCATTAGGTCCACCCTAACTGATATTTTAAAGCTTAAAATAAATAAATAAATAAACACACATAAAGCTTGAATATGAAGAAGAAAGGGATTTATAGAGCATTTACATATTTGTAACAAGTGCAGTGTATAATATGATGTCAAGCTGTACATTACAGTACAACAAATTTGCATTTGTTCTAGACATAGAAATAGATAAAAACAGGATGTTACTTTGCAGCAATGTACAAACACTGGATATGTGGTTAAAGTGTGATCACTGGAATAGGTCTATTCGGATCTCATTTAATGTCTGCTAAAAATACAAATAGTTTCTGCTGGAACAAACAGCCTCATAGATGCACAAATGTATAAGGTCAAGACATTAATGTGTAAGGTCACAGTTTTGAGAAATAGAGATGCAGTTTGAATATCAGCCTTACTATTTCACGTACACCTGGTGTAGCCAATCCTGTGTTAATATTTCACATTTATCTTTATCTAATCTAATATTTCACTCATCCACCTTTCTTCCTAACACCCACCCTCCATCCCATTTTTTTTTTTTAATTTACACACTTATTATTGATCTCCTTAACTCAATTAAGCTAATTTCACTAAAAGTCAAATATAGCAAAGATCTCATAAAACAAGATTTTAGAAAACAAGACACGATCTGAGAGGTCAGTATTCAAAATGTATTTGTTATTCAGAAATTACAAAAAAACTTTGTAAAATGCAACAAAAATACAATCTTAATAATATATAAATAATGAAGTTTTCAAGCTGTGAACTGTCCAGTGCTGAATGGAAATGGTGTGATGCAATTTAAAAGCGAAAATGACAGTTACATCCGATACAGTGATTTAGAAACAGAATAAACCTCTAGACAAAAACAGACAATAAAATATTAAATAAATAAATAAATAAATAAATAGGCCTAAATAAATAAATAAAGGACGCATTTACAATTCTAAGAAACTTATAACATGATGTCGGAGTTGTGATCCAATATGAACTTCAGGGTGCGGAGAATCTCATTTCTGACAATTTCCCATGCGCAGTAACTGAAATCCTGCACAGAAAAATGGCATTCAGCATTAGAATGTTTATTATATAACACAAGAGATAGGCTATGACTAAAGTTATAGGTTGATGACACAAGCGTACCTTTTCTTTCAGAGCCGAGGATATAGTCTCGAAGTATTTCTTGAGTGAAGCATCTCTGCTGGGGAAATCCTGTGCCGCTTCAGACTTGCTCATGATCTATATTTGCCAAGACACAGAAAACATGAAATACTGAAAACAAAAGGTAATTAAAAAGTCATATACATATTACACAGCTATCTGGCAATACGTGATTCTGATTCGTCAGTTGAGGCACCCAGCGGTCAAACATCATTGACAACAAGGTACAAGTGACCGGTGTTACTTCCATGTCTGTTACCACTCAGCTCTCTTTAACGCATATAGTAGCTAATTGGCACTTCATACGAAACTTTTGATAAGGCCTAGAAGATCTAAAATGTAAAATTAAAATTACAATTCGATTTTAAATTCGTTTTTCCAGTTAAAGAAAACGAAGAGATTGCTAGGATGAACTTTAAACCGACAAAAGACCCAAAGAGCTGGGTGAGAGAAATAAATAAATAAAGACAATTTAATTTACTTGTATTGCAGATTAATTATAATTAATTAGTTAATATTGTAATACGTATCCCTGTTTTTTTTTTTCATGTTCACGTATTATAGGATGTACATAAGTGGACTGTTCAGTCTCCAGATTTAACTCTCATTGAAAATATTTGGTTGAATTTGAAGAAAGAAGTAGCAATGTGAAAACCAAAGATTATCAGTGATCTGAAAGCTTTTTCAGGCAAGGATTGAGCCGAGACCGCAGCAGAGAGGTGACCGAAGCTTCTGAGCACTTATAGGCTGCGTTTACTGGTGGTTTTAAAGAATAAAAGATTCTGCACAAAGTTTGACTTTTATAATAATAATTTTGAAAATGAACGTTAGAGCCAATTAGATTTTTTATCATGATTCACCAATGTTACATTCTCAGAATCACTCAAATGTGTATCAAGAAACTTTCTCTAATAGTTCACTGATGTCTTTGTTAAATTGTTTTCATAAAATGTTGTTCTCTGCAACAAAATGTCTTGCAGGTCAAGGGGGTTGAATCATTTTGATTGCAACTGTAAATGTCTCACTGTAATCTCAGTTTTTGTTTGTGTTATTTTTTTTTCAAAGAAAACAAGGAAGAAGTTGAAATTATTTTATGGTAATTAAAATAATGCCACGATTATAATTTAATCACATGTCATTTGAACCAAGACAAGATCTCTACATTTTTAGATATTAACGAAAAATGTAGTTTGCTGTTTTCTTACGCATTTGCTGTCCACAATCTGCCGGTATACGAGGCCTCGAAACTCATTCCACTTTTTTGCATCCCACTGGTCTGGATCATTGTAGTTCTCAAACAATGCATCAATATTCTCAAGTGTCTGGTAAACAGCTTTTTCTACACCAGTAACCTAAACAAGAGTTGAAAAGTAAACAAATGTACACAAAAGTCAACCGAAAAAAAACCCCAAAACAAACAAAAAAAGATTTATTCAAAGATTGTACCTGATCCGTGTTGGCAGACTCGAACGCATTTTGCGGGAAAGTTATGGCAACATTTTCCTTCAGGCACTGCACGGGGAAAAGGCCCCCCTAAAACAAAATAGTATATTCGTCAATGAATATGTATATTCGCTACTGAATTGTACCACTGAAGATTCTCAGCAATTCTTACCGCAGTCTCTATCAGTGTATATGATCTCTTCAATAAGTCCTTACGAAGGATGCAGTTTGTTGGCAATGACCAAACCTGCGCAAAGCAGAAAAAGGTGCACAGCAAGGCCACACGATGAAGATCCATTCTGACAGATGCCTATAAAAGATTAGAGACCATGCGAGATTAAAACAAGGATGCATCGATTTCAAGCCATAAATAATCAGATTCATTACAATAAGCCACTGGTTCCACTGCTTACCTTGTTAACTTGTCCTTTGTCCTTCACAACTTGTTTGTCGTTGTAGTGAAGACTCACTTTAGGTCTGCAGCTTATATACTGCATTTTGCAAATAGACCGAAAAGGGAAAGGCATGATTTTGACGTTCATTTTCTGCATCTGAATAGAAATTGGGACGATTGATGAATTTGCGTTTTCGAGACGTCTTGAACTCTGCGGTTATGCCTACGTCTGTCATTCAATGCATCCTGAAGAGCGACTTCCCCTTATGAACGTTCATATGAAGCTAAGACCATGTGTCATAATCTCACGTTTGAGTCAAAACTATTGCTTTTAATTCATTTTGTAAGATTTATGTGGCATCTAAGAGCCCAAGGTACAATCGAAACAAATCGAAACAATAGAACAAATACATTCGAGTGAATATGAATAAATTATGACAGATGAGTAGTGATACCTTTTGAGATACAAAACACTATACAGCAGACTGACATTGTGGCATGTTGACACATGATTTTGTTCAAGACAGAACTAGTTGTTGACAACTTAGCTACTATTTTACTAGTATCGAAGTGGTACATCTGAAGGCTTGGAAACAGATGAGCTCGACAAAGATTGCAAAACGAACCAAGATGATTCATATAAATAGGAATTCGCAACCAATTCATCTTATGGTAAAATACTAACGAATTGTCATGAGACTATGTTGGTAGATTATGTGTTCATAACTATGGTTTATATTTTACAGTCCTTCAAGACTGTGATGATAATTACATATTTACTAAAAATTGGAGTATGAATTCCCTTGTGTAAAGTGTAGTCAAAGCCCCCTAAAGCAATTCTGTGTCCGGTCATGTAAAAACAAACAAACAGTGCTCTCTTGGAAGCAGAACAGAGGGATGAGAAGTAAGTTATAGATAAATTGGGAGGTTAACCACAGAGTATGCTCATAACACTTTATATTTGTGACTTATGGTCAGTAACAAATGTGTGATGTGTGACAATCATAGATCCTTTCTCTGATATTCCTAGTCTCAAACCTCTTACCTCTGGTCTTGGTCCCTGCCTTTGGTTTTAAATCAGACCACAGTAACAAATGCTCAGATTATTCATTTTCATATTTAGCTTTAACAAATAGAACTAATAATGAACTAAAAGTAGCCTATCATCATCATCATCTATTGTTTATATTATTAATAAATAATTTGAATGATTTTTCCCCCCATATTATAACAATTTTTTATGGTTTTAGTAAAATGTATAACATAAATACCACTTGTGAATTTTTAAACAACATGTTGCCTTTATAATAAGATCTATTCATATTTGAGTATTACATTTTGAAAGCTGAATAAGAATTCTGAAGAATTATGCCCACAATAACAGACTAGGATTTGCCCAAGATGGTGTGTGTTTAAATCTTTGTGCACATGGCCCTTTTGCGGTTGTGGTTTTAAGAAAAAAAAATTATCGTTACTCTTGGTTTGCTTCTAATGAACCTTTCTCTGATATTCCTAGTCTCAAGCCTCTTACCTCTGGTCTTGGTCTCTGCCTTTGGTTTTAAATCAGACCACAGTAACAAATGCTCAGATTATTCATTTTAATATTTAGCTTTAACAAATAGAACTAATAATGAACTAAAAGTAGCCTATCATCATCATCATCTATTGTTTATATTATTAATAAATAATTTGAATGATTTTTCCCCCCATATTATAACAATTTTTTATGGTTTTAGTAAAATGTATAACATAAATACCACTTGTGAATTTTTAAACAACATGTTGCCTTTATAATAAGATCTATTCATATTTGAGTATTAAATTTTGAAAGCTGAATAAGAATTCTGAAGAATTATGCCCACAATAACAGACTAGGATTTGCCCAAGATGGTGTGTGTTTAAATCTTTGTGCACATGGCCCTTTTGCGGTTGTGGTTTTAAGAAAAAAAAATTATCGTTACTCTTGGTTTGCTTCTAATGAAATACAACGGCTGGTATATTTCAATCTCGTGGGTATATGTAGAGACCCCCACTGGCATCTTACCTTAGAAAGTGAAAATAAGGACAGGGAACTGAAAGTGTGCGCAAACCAAGCTGAGTGATCACGAAAAATCACATTTGCCCCTCCCAAACTGTTAAAGCTAGTACTGTGTGAGGTTGTTTGAGAGCAAGAGGAATCAAGTACTCTGCTTTTGGTTCTGCCAAACACCTCAGGGAGACTAAAAACCAGAAAGAGACACACTTACATTCCTGATTCTGAGTAAACCTCTCACAACCAATAAAATACTAATCAACATAGGTTTATGACTCAGACTAAACAAGAGGTTATTAGTGTCATTCTCTTTATAAATCAAGCATACAAATCTCAACATGTTTAGCAGAGCCGTGTTCACGCCAGAACTTTTGATTTCTTTTTGAGAACTTCCTTATTTTACCAAAATGTGGAAATTCACAGCTTTCATCAGCAAATGCCAAAGCTAAATTCTATCTTCTAATTTAGGTAAAAGTAGGTAATGCTTTCAATTTGACAACTTAATCTCAATTTGAATTTATTTATAAAGCGCAATTAAAAACTACTGTTTACCAATGTGCTGTACAACATAAATAACAACCATTAAACAGAATTCAGACAAAGACAAAGTCACAAGTAAAACAACAAAACATAGACAAATCAATTTTAAAATGATTTTAACCTTGATTTAAAAATGGATAGAGTGGGAACAGTTCTGATTTGGATAGGTAGACTATTCCAAAGTCTCTGAGCGGCTACGGCAAATGCCCGATCGCCCCTAGACTTTAGTCTGGTTTTAGAAACCACTAAAAGCCTTAAATTGGCAGACCTAAGAGCTCTTACTGGTTGGTGGTCTATCAACAGATCAGAGAGGTATAGGGGTTCTAAACCATTTAAAGACTTAACCAATAAGAGCACTTTAAAATTAACCCTAGCGCACAAGTAACCAATGTAAAGAGCCTAGGACAGGGGTCATATGTTCATGCTGTCAAACTCCCATTATGACTCTGGCAGCCACATTTTGAACCATCCGAAGGTGCTTTAGAGAAGATTGACTGATCCCCAAATAAAGAGAGTTACAATAGTCAAACCTACTGGTGATAAAAGCATGGATAACTCTTTCAAAATTAGTAAAAGAAAGAAAGGACTTCATTTTTACCCTTTTCAACTGGTAGAAGAACTTACCTTAAGTCAAGTACAAATACATTGAAATATGCTGAAGAGCTTCTATTTCTATTTATTTAAATGTTCATTAACAAATTATTTCTTACTCATTACTTAATACAGCAATGCGTTAAACCACAAGCATTAAAAAAGAAGACAAACCAATACATGCACGTTTAAGCCTAAACATAGGTATACATAAAAAAACACATGAATTACACTCATATGAGAACAACAAAAATGTTCATCCATTCAAAAATAATTTAAAATTTTAAATAATTAAAAAATCTTCATCTATTTAAAAGGGTTATTGTAGTTAAGTAAAACTTTGGTGATTTTGATTTTCAAAGATTTATTATAAATTTGTATAAACTTTTTTCCCAAAATGCAATAAATCCATGACACTTTTTTTACTTCAAAATGCAATAAATCCATTGAATCAATTTAAAAGTTATTTTTCATACTGAAACTGTTGAAAATACATCCACATATGACAGCCTCTGAACTTGGTCAATACTAATCTTATATACAGGCACTGGACTAAAAATACATTCAATCAGTCATCGCTCCCAAAATGAATTCAACGGGTCATCTTGTTAATGCTACAAATTAATTACAGCAATAAAAGACAATTTCATCATGAACATACATGAACAACAATATCACATTAAACAACAGAAATTCCAAAATGACATTTCCCTTACATTCAACTTCCAAAAGTGCATTCATCTTTGCCATGTTACATTCATTTAGTTGACTAGTGCTATAAGCTGTATTAACAAAAACATTAATGGCATTTAATAAAAACACTTACACTGACAAGCTACGCAATATCGCGGTTTATAATCGAATGCGACTCATCTGCGATTATGAACGCGATTATAGCAGTGATCTATGGCTCTGTGCATTAAATGCCGCTCCATCTGAAAGCACGTGATGGAGATTTACTATTAATCACAGAACTGGCTTTACTGACCAGATGCGCATGACAATCACATGCGATTTATATAACTAAAACCTAAATACAAATTAATGGAAAAAACTACAGACACATAAAAAACTAAAACTACTAAAACGGACAAAAGAAAATTACTAAAACTTTGACTAAATGAAAATGAAATGGATACTATAAAAATAAAAACAGATTCAAAATATAGATGAGTATAGTCCTTGTACATCTGTATATAGCCTAATTTAATTTGACAGCATACTAATTAGTCAATATGATCATAAATATGATTATATACTCTATATAATTTAAAAATGTTCCCAGCTGAGTCTTGGTTCACCCACATCCTATACGCTAAAAATCTAATGTTTTTTTCTACCCCCACTGTTGCCCATGGCTTGCTGAGATCATTTATTTATTTAAATCTTCTTTATAGCAATATGTATGTCTAGTAAAAAAAAGTCATTGTACAAATCAACTGAATTGCAGCAGACACTGCTACCTAGTGGCATTTAACTTTAGAAGCACCTCATCTGTGTGTAAAAAGGAATTTATAATCACACCAATGAATAGACACAGGGAATTTTAGGTAAACTGGGTAACCTGATTTTAAAGATCTACTGATATTATTCTTAAACCTGGACCAAAAACACATTAAAAATCTACTTGACAAAGGAAAAAAGCCAGTCAACCGAACAAATGCAGCAAGGCAAAAGCAATAAATAAAAGAGAGGCACATATGATTAAAATCCACTCCTACAAATATATTTTATTTAACAC